TCAGAGTTGTCCTCTACGAAGGCTACTCCTCAAAGTAAGTGTATTTTACTTCATCCTAATAGTTTCTAACAATTATCTAGAATCTTCTCCTACCTTTGATGACATAGTTGAAGATTATCTTCCAAAGGCCCCTTCTTCCTTGTCACTTCCCACCATACCTCCAGCTACAACACCACCTCCCCGTAAATCTAGTTGGCTTGACGGACTCATATAGACTCTTTTGGTATCTATACATTATCTTCTCTTGCTAAGCACTATATTCAATTGTTAGCGAATTCGTGTGAGATGATCTTGGACAGCCTCACCCTATACTCCATCCAGTTTGTACGTTCTCCCGACGGACCAGATGGCATTAAGAACTGGAGGCTCATCACACCCTCGCTATCGATTCGTATCGACACTCTCATGGATACTGATAAAGCCCGAACAATTTGGCGCATCACATCAAATGTATAGCTTTGAAACTTTTAGCAGCAAATTCATTGGGTGAGGATCCTCTACACACTTGAATTTGACGGATTCTCCGCATTCGAATACCTCCAAAACTTCTCTGTCGTTAGGAAAATCCATCTAACCGGGATATGACTTCTGGCAGCATGAATTATGAGCTTATCTTACCTCCACGTTTCCTCTCATGCTTTTGGCCTCAATACGGAAAAATGAATGTGTGATATCCCCCAACCGTGCGGTATCCGCCGCTCGAGTAATCTTCTGGGGAGGATAACAGATAATGGTGATGAATTCGCAAGATGTGTCAATTTCCGACAGCGCATCTCTGAGCCAAACAGATTTCATAATGATCTTTACGATCCTGTAGAGATTCTTTATTTAGTCGAACAAGCTTATATGGCAAGAATACTCACTTGTCCGCATCATTGAACCCAATCTCCATCCGCCGCTCTGAGAGTAAGGTCGTTATATGACAAACACTCGATGGTCCTTCGGCCTTTTCTGCTCTATGCCGAGGGAATCAGAGCCGGGAGGGTGCAGATTGAGATTCCAACGTACAGGAAGAGACTGAGGGGATGACCAACTCCTGCATATGACATCCTCATGGTGGTTATAGGTTTATTACGTGAGTGAATCCAACGATCCAGTGGCCCTCTTGGATCTTCTTCATCCTCATCCCTATCTTCACGCACAGTCCACTTCCGTTTTCCCGAGTACGAAGCTCCGGTGCTACCATAGATAGACAGAGCCTCGTTTAGTATCTTTAAATTGATGTCAATCTCAACATCATCGATATCCTCTTCCTCTTCTTCGTCGGTTTGTTCTCCTTTCATTGGGGCAAGCTCGGGGGGATGGCGCTCATGTTACTTCGTTCACAGGAGACAGATAAGGCTACTATTGATGTAGAAGCACAAGAGGACGGCGTTTTAGGGAAAATCCTTGTAAGTCAATGTTTTGAAGCTCGGAGAAGTGATCTCATTTTCACATTTAAATCAGGCGAAGGAAGGTGAACGTGGAATACCTGTTGGAAAACTCATCGCTCTTTTAGTTGAAGAGGGTGACGACATTTCAAATCTCGAAATACCGAAAGACGAGGCAGTAGCCAAGCCAGCTGAACCGACCAAACCTTTGCAATCGGAAAAGCAGTCAGATGCACCACCTACTTCTTCTCCGGCGTCCCCAAATACTTCGAAGAAACATTCATCGCACATTCATGTCGAAGGACCCGTCTTCCCTTCTGTGCTCAGACTGTTGAATGAGGCTGGCGTTGAGGATTATAAGAAGATCAAAGGAACCGGAGTTAGGGGGATGCTAACCAAAGGTGACGTGCTCGCTTTCTTAGGGAAGGCGTCCAGTCCTACTGGAACCTACAAGATGGCCCCCACCGCCATCGGTGCTCCTGCAGCTGCCGCACCACCAGCCAAAAAGGAGGTCAAGGCAAGTTCTAGAACCCAAGCCTTGTTCCAAACAAACTAAACCATTCTCAGCCTGTCGATGCCTTGACTTTACGTCAAATGATTGTTTCTGGCTTGTCAGAGTTGTCCTCTACGAAGGCTACTCCTCAAAGTAAGTGTATTTTACTTCATCCTAATAGTTTCTAACAATTATC